TTTCTAAAATTTATAAAAACATAGTAAAAAAGAAAAAAAAGAAAAAAAAAGAAATGTTGGTAATGTGTTATGTCACTAATTTCAAATAGAAAAACTGGATTAGCTGGTTATTAGCACATCAACAGAGTTAACAGAGCCAGTAGAATCTTCTACCTTGAACAAGATCCAGATCGATTTTGTTCAAGGTAGAAGATTAACGTTGTCATTTTGAGACCATAACAAAATAACAAGGAAAAACATACATCATCAAACTATGTTGAAAGCCGCTAGTTTATAAGAATCGCTCTTATATATATATATATATATATATATATATATATATATATATATATATATATATATATATATATATATATATATATATATATATGAATCCTTAACAGAGTTAACTGAGCCAGTAGAATTTATACCTTGAACAAGATCCAGATGGATCTTGTTCAAGGTCAAGATGCCTGAGATGCCTGGGTCAAGGTCTGAGATGCCTGTTGGAAAGGAGGAGAAGTGAAATAGAATGATGCCAGTCAGACATTTAATTTATTTAACAGGTTTTTGAGCTGTGTTAAAGATCCAATGAGAGAAATATGTAAGTTATCCAGGACTTTGTTAGAGGCTACAGTTCATACAATCTGTTGCTCATGTTGGTGGCCAAGTAAAAAAAAAAAAAGTTAAAAAAAAAACCTGGCAATAAAGCAAAATAAAAAGGCTTAAATGTTATAAACTTTTCAAAAAAAGTTGCTAAAAAATATAACTTTTTTCCTGAAAATTTCTTTGAAAAATGAGGTTTTACAGAAAATCATGTTTACAAATAATTTTTTATTTGCATTTTTTTAGCCTATTAAATAATGAAAAAAGCATGAGAGCTTTTTTCATTTTTTAATCAAGTTTAATACATGTGTGTATGTGTGCATGCATGTGTTTATTTCTATAATTAAACTTAACATAAATAGCTAAATTTTTTTTTATTACAAAAATTTTTAAAAGTCATACATTTTCCTGTCGATCTAAAACTGACATAGTTCCATCTATACGACAGTAACCATAACCACGCAAATAACAATAGTCTTGCAAAATGTCCATCATCTGTGTCATTTGAGAAAAGATTAAAACCTAAAAAAAAAAAAAAAGAAAAAAAGAAAAAAAGAAATTTATACTATTTTTATACTACAGTAAAATTTTTACTTTCTCTTATTTACTATTTTTATTTTATACTTTTATTTTATTTATACTATTTTTACACTACAGTAAAATCTAATTTTACAGGAAAAATTAAAAGTTTAAATTAAAAAGATTTTCAAATAATAGAAAGTTGACATTATAGATATTCTGTTCAAAGTAACAAATAGAAATGAAAAAAACAAAGAGTGACTCTTAGGCCTTAATGCAATATATGTTATTGTTTTGAACGCTTATATTTTCAAAAAAAAGTCCATAATTGTAGATTGTCTTTTATTAGTTTGTAAACTCATGTCCAGCCCTCAAATATAGAGACAGGATTCACCAATGCCGACCTCAAAGTATTTGTGGTTGGCAAAAAACCTCATTTCTATATTTTATGGTAACTTCTTTGCGTAAATTTATTTACCTCATTATTCTGAGGACTGCATATCAATGGCATGATTTATGTCTTTAAGAGTCTTTGTCAAACCATCCCTAAAGTCAGTTGAGTAAAGAGATACATTGCTTCATTCAAACTTTGTTTTGTATCATTGTCCAAAACATAAATGCGCTATTATCAGATTCCTATCCAGTTTCATTACACCATGTCCATCATGTTTCAATAGCATCTGCAATGATGTCCTGATTTATTGGCAATGAAAACATTGGAATCTATGTCTACTAAATCATCGACTGTAAGGTTAAAATCTGCATTGAACTTTGCTCTAAACATTTCAAGATCTTTTTTAAGTTATCTATTACAGCCTCCTCTACATCAATGTCTAAGTTAGGATCATTATCATTTGTATGCTTTTCCATAGCTTCTAATGATATTTCTGATTTCTTAAAACAATTTATAAAGGTCCAGAATGGAATTCCATGCCTTTGTAAGCATAAGCATAGCAGTTAAGAGAAAAAACTTAGTGTATCTTGTTCTATTTTACAAGAGCTTTTTTGCTGCAATATCAATAGTTTGAAAGATTAGGTTGTATTAGGTAGTAAACAAAGATTAGTTCTACCCAATCAAGTTTCTGCTTGTTAGGAAGAGCAGAACAATTAACTCTTATTAAAGCAACATTTACATTCTGAAATCTTTGTACCTTTAACCTACTCCACAATTAATTCGGCAGACATCTAACTTTTAGATTGTGGGCCTGATAGCAACAAGGAATTTTTTTTGCACCTTTGAAACATTCAGGAGATTTTGTTTTTCTTATTACAAATTGAAAGTCTTTCTCCTTTAACATCACATGCAGTCATACCAGTCAGACAAACCTTTCAATACTTACCTCCTGCGCTTTTATTTTTTTAAATGTAAACTTTTATTAGACAAAAATTAGAAAAAGCTGAATTAATTGGCATTAAAAATATTTTTAAGTGGGCATCAAGTCATGAGTGCATCATTTGTTCATATAAAAATTATAATTGTTTTAACATATATCTTTGACAACATTGAAAGTTTCCAGAATGTTCAGTTCTGGACAATATTTATTTTATTTTCTCATAACAATTTAAGAAAAAAAGCTGCAAATTATATATAGTGGTTAATTATAAAGATTAGATAAAACAGAAGAAATAATTTTCTTTCTTAAATTTGTCTAACCATCCATTCGAAACTTAAAAAATTTTGAAGCTCAATTTTTTCACAAAATATTAAGCTTTTTTTTTTTTTTACTACTAATTAGAACATTTTCAGCTCTCATTTGTTTGAACCATTTAAGTACAGCTTGTCAAATACAGTTTTGTTGGCTTGAAATTAGTTATCAAATTCCCTTGAAAAACCTTTTTTCTTTATTCTTTTTCCAGTTTAAAATAGTGTTTAGTAAAATATAAAAGATAATCAAAACCTTTTTAATTTGTTTTACCTTTCATTAAATTTTTTTTTTTTTAAATCTGTTTGATATCATGATTAAATGGATTGCTGAAACAAGTTATGCTTACTTGTAAATAAATATTAGAAAAAAAGTTTTAAGTTAAACTTACCAAAGCAAACTATTTATTGATATATTTAAAAATAAATTTTTTTGTTTAGCGATTATACTTCTGGTTGACAGGTTAAAATTAACTTCATGAATTTGGATAGTTTTCTCCTGTATAAAAATATCTGGTTTGGATAATAAATGTACAACAGAGTTTGTACAACAGAGTTTAAAAACGATTTAGTTACCAGATTAGATTTTTCCTTTTTATAAATGTTTGCTATATTAGGTATATCAGTTCAACTGTTTAATACTTGCAAAATGAAAATTGTAATTAATCAAAGAATACAGAATAATAATAAATATTTTCTAATTTGTTTTATTTTTAAGTACATTAAAGTATTATATTATTATTTACCCTGAAATCAAATTTATTTTTTACTAAATTCAAATATATATATATATATATATATATATATATAACCTATTTTTAAGTATTAAATAATACTTAAAAATAGGTTTCTAGTTGATTGAACTTTCCAAAAACTGATTTCTAGTTGATTAAACTTTCCAAAAAATAAAATCATTTATAGAGCTATTAACAAAAAAAACTTCATATTTTTAATAACATTTTTCCTCTCTTAAAGGAAAGTTCTAGTTATTTAATTTTTTTCTTTAAATACTAGTCTGATTAACACTTTTGTAGTTAATAAATGTTAATGTTATATTGATGTCAATACATAAAAGTTTCAAATGAGTTATAAATGTTATGGTATACTTAGGTTTTCCTTAAAGCAATTTTTTTTTAAGTAGAAGTTTTTTCTATAAAACCTTCTACAAAATATATATAACCAAATAAAAGTCACACAAACAATATGCTTTAAAAAGATATGTTAAAGTACTTATATTTGTTTCATTTTAAAAACGAATATATGGGACAGAATATGGAGACATTTTGTATACCCATTGATTTTTTGTCTCCACAAGCATACTTTTTTGTAAAAAACCGGTCCCTGTATGCAACTTTTAGGAAAAGTGAAAAATACATTCAACGACTACTTTATTGCCTGCAGCCAGTGCTGCTACATCAACTGAGGGTTTTGTTGAGATCAGGATTAAGGTCAGGGTTTTATTCATTTTTGTAATTAGATGAAAAAAAAAAAAAAAAAAATGCAATAATAAAATAAAAATTACAAAGACAATTATAAAAAATATATTGTTATTACAAAATATTATATTTAAATATGTATAAATAAAGATAGGCATTGTCATAGATATATAATATATTTAGATATGTATTTTATAAATATATATTTTACCTTAAAAAAATCTTAAAATAGCTTATAAAAAAAATCTAAACAATTGTTTTTTACCATATATGGTTTCAACTAAATAAAATAATAACCTTGTGGCCATTGCTTTTTAAAGCTGGCAGAATTTTATCCAATAGCAGCATCTTTCCAGATGTTTTAATAATATTTTCATCAATAACAAGTTCCTGAGTTTTTGGATCTAATGGATACTCTAACAGGTAAGGATGATTACAACATTTGCGCAATTGCATCATAATATTCTGTAGACGAATGTTGACAACTGACTTGTTATTCTGAACAGATGCTTTTTCTTGCAATTCTTTTTTTCTAATAGAAATTGTGTAAAATATTTTTTTAAACAGTCTTCATAATTAAAAACCAATATATGATGAAATATTAACTAAATATTGAATATTTTTGATAATGACAAATTTTACAAAAAATTAAAATAATAAAATTAAAAAGCTTTAAAACTGACATTGAAAAACATAATACGCCTGTACACAACATTTATAAATATGATATTAATGATAGTACACAACATTTATAAATATGATATTAATGATAGTACACAACATAAATATGATATTAATGATAGTACACAACATTTATAAATATGATTTTAAATATATTCTGTTACTCTATCTAAACCCACTCTGTAAACCAATTTTTTGCTCTGTATTTGCTTCACTAACTGCTCTACAAGCCATTCTTGAAATCTACATATGTTGAAATCTACATAAATTTGGCAGATTTCAACAAAAATTACAGATAGGGCAAAAGTTTTTTACAAAACTTTTGCCCACTGTAATTTTTTTTAATAATTTATTAGTTAACCTTTTCTGTCATTTCTAAAAATGTAAAAAACATTTCTTTATCATTGATTATTTTAACATAATAATGTTTTTAGAACCAACTGACAACTGATAATACCCATGTATTATAACTGATAATACATGGGTATTATCAGTTATAATTAAACAATTCATCAAATGTTGATAGTGTGCTTCTTTTGCAGTCTAGATTTGACAAGGAAAGAAAAGTAGGGTGTTAAAAGACAGATTATAATACTTATATTGTAGATAAGAAAATACTAAAACTAAATAAATGGTACTTTAAATACAAGGATTTTTGTTTTCAAATAAAATCTTTCATAAAATATATTAAATAACAATTTGCATGCCTGTTATTATTATGCATTTAAAGTTTGTGCTCAAGACCAAAGTAATTTGTTTTAAAAACATCTTAAGCTACTCTAAGTATGATTATAATACACATAACATATGCATGTAATACTCTAAATATGCATATAATACACATAATATATGCATGTAATTGCATATATTATGTGTATTATATGAATATATCTAGCTAAACTCTAGCAGTATGGTTAAAATGTAGGTAATGTCTTTTGCTGTTCCCAGAGAGAGCAGAAGAAACATCACGATAACTTTTTATGACTGATATTACTAAGTTCAGTAAACCTTAAGGGAGACAAGCTCTTCAATATCTAGACACATCACCATCTACAGAGCCTGTCTTCCCCTTCCCCACATACGATGACAGCCTTCTCAATATCACAACCACCAGGAAAAGTAAGTATACTTTCCTAAAAATCCTTTCGCAGCCTTTAGTAAATTTCAACAACAAACATTGTTCAACAAACAGCTTGGTAAAAGTATTACTTTTCTAAAATGATGAATTTTATGATGAATTTAATGACGAATCTCTTTATGATAAAGATGCTTTTTTAAGAAATATTTATTTATAGAATTATATAAGTATTTTTGATTATTTTCTTTTGAGTTTTGACTTTCACTAATCTTTTTTAATCTCCATCTTTTTTGTTGTTGTTGATTAACATCTCAAAATTTAATGAAGAATGTCAGCAGTTGTCACCATTTTTAATTTACAGTGAGCATTATAAGCTGACATGGGCAACAAAACTTGATTTTATTTTCTGTTTTCAAAAAAATTAAAAACAGCACAAACATTTCATTAAAATTATAATTACTTTTATTTATTTATTTATTACTTATAATTACTTATAATTACTTTTATTTATTTATTTTATTTCTTATAATTACTTTTATTTATTTATTTATTTTATTACTTATAATTACTTTTATTTAAGTTACAGTTAAAACAATTAAACAAAACAATTTGGAAAAAACATACACTTTATTAATTCTAAATAAAATGATTAAAACAAAATCGTCAACAAAACAAATATTTAAAATAAAATCGCCAACAAAAGAGATAAAAAAAATAAAATGATTAAAACAAAATGGTCAATGTTTTATTCAAATTCCTAATAAAATGGTAAAATGCTGCAATAACTTTTCAAATTTTTAGGCAAACATCAACATTTATAAGAAAATTCCGCAAACTCTGTTTTTTGTCAATTTTATTTTCATCTGCATGTTTGCCAAATCCTGATTACCAATTTTGTCCTGACTTGATATCAATTGGTTTTAAATTAGCAATTTTTTGGCTACCGATTTGTTCTTAATTTGAGGGCTGCATTTAATAATTCATTTATATCTAAATACTAATAATACAAACTATACTGTATAATGTTTTCATTAAAATGAAAACATACAATATTAAAATGATGGTGATTTGATGAAAACTTAAAATGTTTTCATTAAATCACCATCAAATCTAATTCTTTATAAATTGAATTTGGCCACTGATCGTTTGACTGTGTCCACTGCTCATAATTTAAAAAAATAAATAAATTATTTCATAGATTAGTCAAAAATAAAATTTAACAAAACCAAAAATAATGTCAAATTGAATGATCACCCTGTTTGAGCATTGTCAGACCTATAGTGTGCATCTCAGGATTTCAACTTCTGCTGCAACTTCTGCATTCTAAATCAACTTGATTAATAAAATCTTTTGCGGTTTTTGTAAATTCTCATTTATAAAGGATATAATAATAATATAGTAATATATTAAAACAATAATATTAGTATTAAAGTATTAGAATAATAATTAAATTATTTAAAGCTATTAAACTATTTAATTTATATAATTAATCTGTTATATATTAATATTGAACTTAATACTGCTGCCATTACTTATTTATGCGTGTTTAGTACAGAACTCATTGCAAAAGCCATGAGTTCTGTACCAACAGATTAATAAAAAAATAAAGCCAAGTTAATGGCGAGAAAAGTCTTTTAACACTTTTTCAAATAGAAAATGCAGCTATTTCTAACTAATGTAAATTTAAAATTGTGTAAATATTTAAGTTTACTTTAAGGTTTTTACTTTTCAAGTTTTTTACAACTAAGTTTAGCTTGCGTAAGGAAAAAAGGTTTACTAAGGTTATACTAAGTAACTATAAGAAAAAAGGTTATACTAACAGGCTTGGTTGAGAAGCGGGTGCGATCGCACTCAATAATTGACCACGGAAATAATATTTAGTTGGATAAAACTGGCCAGATTTTTTAGTCGTTTTGAGAACATTTCAAAAACAAACAAAAAAGCGCAACAAGATTAACTGGACCGTTGAGAGACAGTTAAAAAAAGAAAAAGTTTTTTAACGCAAAAAAACTTTAAGCAAAAAAATACGATTAGAGCAAATATTTTTGAAACGTGGTTCTTTTATATTTTTTTTATAAAATTAGGCAACATTTTTTATGTAAAGTAACAACTTACTATTAATGATTGTTATAAGGAAACAAATGTTCTTTAATTTATCAACGAGTATCTAATTTTTATTTATATACTAATATATGTCTTATTTCCAGTGCTGGATTGAGGAGGTGGGGGAGAGGGGGATGGGGTAGAAGGGATTCACGAGGTTAGAGGCCGCGAAATAGTTAAAAGGACCATTCTGTATTTTTTTAAGTAATTTTTACGCTGTGGCACATAATAAATGCCACTAAAATAATGCAGCCCGCGGCCCTGAAAAGTCCAACAAGATTCAACCAAGTAAAACTAACACTAGATGATTTATTTATAAATAAAAAGGTTTTTTATTTATAAATAACTGTTTTATGCTTCGTGTAGTTTGAAAAGTTTAACACATTTGAAACTATTCTTTTTAGTAAGATGGACAAATGAAATAATTAAATCATTGAGTTACTGTAGAAATTCAATTAACTAGATAGAAATTAACTAAAAACGTTAAATTTCTTAGTGAGGAGGAAGCGGAACAGCTTCACATTATCGCTGATAATGTTTAGTGAGTGGGCTTTAAAATTTTAATTAGTATTTAAAACAGAAAAGAGTTAAGTATAATGAGTTTGTAAGAATGGCTGAAGAAAAATAATTGAAGTTAGTTAACAAATTTCTGAGAACTTAAAAACTTTTCTTTCTAAGAACTTAAAAACATAAATTTAAAACATTTATTTTTGCAAACAATTAATGTTAGTTTAAAACATTTATAGCTTTGTAGATGTGGCTTCAAGAATGACACAGTATTAAAATAAAAGTTTGTTTGATAGTATATTGTTAAAACAATTTATGCTAGAAATCTCGACGAAAACATAACAAAACTCAAATAATACAACTTTTTAAAGTAATTCAACAGAATACTCTAAAACATTCGGTTAGTATTTTTTGAACCTATAGAATTAGTTGTTAGCAGATTTGGCGGGTTTTTTGTGTTCGCGAATATTCTTTTTTTTATTTTTCCGCACAAAAATTGAGAACATTTGAGTTTATGTATGTTTCCATGTAAGTCCTTAATACAAAATACTTTAAGATTTACGATAACTTAATTATTTTGCGGACAAACAAGGAAACATACGTGAACTTAAATGTTCTCAAATCGACTAAAAAATCTGGCCGGTTTTTTGCAACTAAATATTATTTCTGTGGTCAGTTATCGAGTGCGATCGCACCCGCTTCCCGACCAAGCCTGTACTAAGTATAATATCGATAGAACTATTAAATTGTTTTGTTTTGCATAAAAAAAAAAAAGGCTGAGAATTTTAACGTACTGACCTTAACTACTTTATAAACAATAAAGAGATCTTAAATACTATGTTTTTAATGGAGGCATAATTGAAAACTACAATTTTGTATTTAAACTAAAACATTTTATTGAAATTGTTTTTTTATTAAAACAATAAAATTTTAAAATTACTTAATATCAAGGTTTTAATTACAAGATATCAAGGTAATTAGCAAATTTAGGGGTTTACAGCTATATGAGCTATAATGAATTTGCAACAATGACAGAATGGAAAAAACCGCCAAAACAGTATTAAAAAAACACGAGGCATTTTCGATATGTATGTGATTAGTTTATTGATTTTGTATTTCCTAATAAACTTTATAAACTCTAAATCTGTCTATTATAATTATCACAAATAATTTTATTATAGAATATACAAGATTTTCTTTTGAAATAAATAAACGGGGTAAGAGTTCTAATAAGCTTTAAGTATGTGTAAAAGAGCAAAAAAATTAATATGCATCATTTTCCCCCTTTGATTATTAGAAGTTTACAATAAAAGGTTTTAAACCCAAAGCCGAGATATTTAAATGAATCATTTTTCTGTGGTTCATTAAATTTATTGATGTAAACTAAGAAATATTAAGATGTAATATTAAGACCATATGATTGGTGCGGAACAGACTTACCATGACCCATAATATATGGGTCCTAACTAGTACTAACATATTGGTGTTATAAAAATATTTAAATTTTAAAAGTTTTAATTGTTACTTTTTTTCACTTTCTTCAATTTCTTCTAATAACTTTTCGAAATCAAATTCTTGTGAATCATCTTCTTCTGTATACTTGACATTAGTTCGAGCTTTACGCTTTGGTCTACCTGATGGAGTTAATTCCACTTTTTCTTCAACTGTCTAGAAAAATTTTATAACATAACTTTGATTTAATTTTAAAAATAAAAGTTCAATAAAAAAAGAATTTATTATCATAAACTATTACATAAATAAATAAAATAAAAGTTTTAGGAAAAGCTAATAATACAAAAAAATAAAAATATTTATGGAAAAAAAAATGGTAGTAAATATACATTCTTTTTCTGAATAATGTCAATAATTGTTCGATCAAGAGTAGTCTTGTAATATGCTTCTTGTGTTGGCGTAAGTGGAGCGTATACAATTACTTCTTTCTTAGGAGGAATTGTCAAGTCTATATCTGTTTTTAGGCGACGGAGAAGAAAAGGCGTCAATATCTATTAAAATTTTTTTATTACTAATTCATTAATAGTAAAGCATGACCAAGATATGTACATAAATAAATATATGTATATAAATAAATATTTTCTTAAAAAGAATCACAAACCAATCTATAAAAGATTTTATTTAGAGTTGTTTGTGCACCTCTAAAAAGGTCCAGAAGAAAAAGAAAAAAGCCTCCTTCATAATAATGGTCTTCTTATAATGTAACCATATTTTATATTTTTTGCAAACAGCTACTCAACAAATTTTTGTACAGAACGTAATTAATATTACTATAATCATATAAAATCATATTTTATTATATTTTATTATAATAAAATCATATTTTATTATATGCTTTTTACAAACAACTACTCAACAAAAATTCATACTGAATGCAGGGTTTGAAGTACTTTGGCCTCCTGTTCTTGTGCAATAAGTTTTTCACTATTTTCATCAACTGATGTCACAGCACTGAAATCAAACCATGACTGGAAACTAAAATAGATTTTGATTGAAAGTAAGAAATTAAAAAAATAGCAAAAATTATTATTAGGAATAATAACAAAAATAATAAAAACAAGATATTAAAAATATTTATTGTTTGTTAAGTGTTTCTTTTTAGTTGCAGAAAAAAAAAAAAAAAAAAAAAAAAGTTAATTTATAAAAACCTTGTCAAATCATCAAAGATATCAGGTAAAATGAAGTTAAGTAGAGACCAAAGTTCTGATAGATTATTTTGAAGTGGTGTTCCAGTCAGTAAAAGGCGGTTTGCAGTTCTATATTCCTTTAATTCTCTAAAGAAAAATTTTTTTTTACACTTTTTAATCTAATGTAACATATAATACATATCATAAAATTATAGGGGGCACTCATAAAGTACGTACACACCTGTGTGTCTTCAATGACCTCCCCCCACACACTTTTCTGCATATACACATTATTTATTACAAAATTACCCACCCCCCCTCCATTCCAAACAAACTTTTCAAGACAATAAAAACAAAAAAAGCTTTTGACCATTTCGACATTTCTTTTGCATAACATAATATTAATTTTTTAAACTCATGAAATTTTTTATAAAAGAAATCAAGTTTTAGGAGAGGTAGTCAAACTTTGAAAAAAAGGAGAGATAGCCAAACTTTATACTTGCTATCTTTTACTACTCCCCCTCCCCCCACAAACATTTGTATGTCTTTGGGTACCCCTATCTTCCCCATACCTGCTTACATACTTTATGGAAGACCCCTAATGTAAGTAATATTTATTTTTGGTTTGAATCTGCAAAAACAAGTTAAAGAGTTTTCTTAAATCTAATAAAATGGAACAAGATTTAGATTTAGAAACAGTTTTTTCTCATATTTTAATTCTGTTAAAACATTTTATTACGACAATCATGGTAGCATAAAAAGAGGCTATTCTAGACTCTTTTATTACTTATTGCTGTCTTTGATAAGTTACTTAGAACTAAAACTGTTAAAAATGTCAACTATTGTTTATGAAAAATTTATTTTATTAAAATATTAAGCCATGATTTGTTTTAATACTGTTAATTAGATAAAAAATATTTTTTATCTAAACACATGAACAAAAGTGAAGATATTAACAAAAAGGTTTTTTGAGCTAATTTGAGTTTTTAGCTATACTATATTTATTTTATTTATATTTTTTATATTGATTTTAAACTTTTTTTTTGTCTAAATAAACTTGTACTACAAATTAATAATCTAAATAAAACTATGTAAATATGTTCATAAAAAAATCTCCTTTTAAACAAACATAATTTTAAAGTTAAAAAAAAAGGAAAAATATTTTTTGCTTTTTATGTATTTTAGAAGTTTTTAATTTTTGTACACAAAAAAAAATTTTAAAACCCTTTCTCTCTGCCTAAATATTTTTGAGAGGTGGCAAAAGTGATAGTGTTGCCCTAATTATTTTTCTAGAATGGCCCTTGTTCAGATATTGAAGCTTATATTAGCTTATAAAACAAAACATTTAACTTTTGATGTACAAATAAACCAACTGCAGAACTAGGATTATTTACTAAAATATTTACTCTATTATAACTATTTTTTTTTTGTGACCATAACAACAAACGCAAATATATATTTTGCTTATTATTTATACAACCACACCAAAAATGACAACAGTATTCCATACAGGAATGAATAAGAGAGTAAAAGAGGTCTTATATTTCATGATTGTAGTCCAGTAAATCTTCCTCAATTTCCTTTTCCTTAAACAAATCTTTTTTAGAAAGTTTATGTTTGTTGTCTGGTTGATTTGTAGCGAGTTTCATCATTTTATAAAGAACATCAATTACTGCAAGTTGTAAGCAGCGGGCAAAACATGATTGTTGATTAGCAACCAGCAACCTTCCAATTCTTTTCATAACACTAGCTCTATCTTTCCTTATAACCACAATGTCACTGTGTAAACCGAGATCGTAAAGTTTTCTTCTAATAATTCAATGCACATTTCTGTTGTTTCCAATTTGTAGAGATAATGAAATAAAGAGTAAAGAAATGATAACATTATAAAGAAAGACAACCTTAGCAGTTGCTAACTTATCAATGGATTGTATATATGGTTTCCATGAGAAATCAGTACTGAATGATAATAAGAGAAGACATAAAGTGAGAGCGTTCATAATCATCAGAATAGGAATATTAACAATATTGCAATATTTGTATGCAGTAAAAAACTGTTGGTTTTTTTCAAGTTAAAATACACAAACCATTGCAAGCCCCAAGATGTTACAGAAAAGATATCAGATTTTTATCTGATATCTCTTCTGGCTTCTGATCTTTTTTAAGTGATCATAAAGTAATTACTTTTTGTCATGAATTAAGTGTATAGATGTGTCGCCAGCAAATAGAGCCACTTTAAATGTAAAATGTCAGGAAGATCACTGATATAGATGAGGACCAAGGATAGAGCCTTGTGGTAAGCCAGAAGTTACTGGAAATGACTTAATTATCTCAAAAACTTTCCCCAATATACCATATTAAACAAAAAGAACCTTTCTGTTATAACAAGTCAGCTGTAAACAAGAAGATCATTACAGAGATGAAAGATATCAGCCAAAGGACTGTCGTGAAGAAAATCGCCAAAGTAATTCTAGTCAGCTTTATGCTAGTATTAAGAAGAAGTGTAATGGTAGGGTGTCTGGAGCCAAGTATGAGATTAAAATCATATCATGGTCTTATCTACTTATACAAGATAGTATCAAAGACACAAGATAGTATCAAAGACAAGATACAAATCAAGGAACTAGTAAGTAATTAGTAAATAAAGTGATTAGGGCTGTCTGGTTAATTTTCTGCTATGTTTACTTAGCAAAAAACAAAATAGCGTTAAAATGATGTTTTTTTTAACATTTTAATGCTATTTTTTGATGTTATTTAAAAAAAGTTTTTAAAAGTTTATTTATAATATATAGGCAACTTGTCTCTGCACTTAGAGATCATTGCAAAATGAATTGAAAAACAAATGCCTTTATGATCATTTTTTGATCATGAAAACATTTTTGAACTTTGATCAAGTATTAGTGAGAAAAGCATGAAGTTTATTTAGTAGACCATTAACTGTTTTTTTGACAAATTTTAATTAAATACCTAAATTAAATAATTTAAGTTTTGAATTTTTTAATTAACTCATAACTTCAACATAGTGAGAGTGAACTCCAATTAAAATGAAATTTTTTATGTAATTAATTTTACCACTTATCTATGAGCTATAGGTAGTAAAAAATCGGGGAACTAAAATACTACTAATTTAAAATGAATTGACAACTTTGACCATTTTTTTCCTTAATTCAAGTTCCTTTTTTCTTTCAAATTTTTTCACAAACTTTGACCTTTGATTTTTTAACTGCTGTTAAAAACTAATATGGCTTCCTTGCATTTTATTATTTGGAACATTGATTCAAACAAAAGCAACATTAGTTCTCCTTTTAGACCCGGCCCAATCGCCGTTTTAAATCTTCTCTTTTTAAACCCGGCTCAATCTTCAATAAAAAAAAAACTCAATCAAAATCTCCTGTTGGTCTCTAATTATTGACATTTATAAAATACTTTATTAACTTATCATTTTATTACCAGGCAGTATGCACTACTTTTTGTTTATTAATATAAGCTGTATCAATCAATAATGCAATAAGTAAAACATTTGTAACATTTGTGTTTTTGTTTACACCAACACATGTAACTTACTTTATTAATTTGCAATTAAGATTTTTAATTCGATGACCTTCATCAACAATGAGATACTTCCATTCCATTCGCATATTAGTAAAAGCTTGCCTGTCACGCATTAATATTTCATAAGAAGATATCACAACAGGAAGACTTGCATGTCCTGTACTGTAACGTTTTACCCTCATTAATTTTCTGCGAATTTGAAAACGCTCTTCAATACTACCATGGTATAAAACAACATTTATCTAAAAAAAAATTCTTTCAGATTTATGATAAATTTTGCAACTTCTTTTATTTGCATTTAAATTTTAACAACTTTTTAATTTAAATAACAAAATGTGTAATTGCAATTGCATTAAAAGTCTACTATGATCAAAAGTCTACTATGATTAAGTTCCTTTAACTTTTAAAAAACATATGTATTATTTAATTATATATTAAAAAATATTAGATTTTTTAAGTTCATTAGTGATTAAGTTTTGAAGAAATTAAGTTTGGATCAAATATCATTGCAGCTTAGATCTTTGATCTAAAATCTATTAACTTATTAAACATGTATATATTTTACTATTAAAATTGTATGTTTTAATATCTAAACTAAATAATATATTAAATTATTTGATTTTCTAATTAAATTTATTAACTTATTAATCTATAAACTTCCAGAAATACCTTGTTTTAAGTAGTCCAGACACTTTTTTTTTTTTTTTTTTTTTTAATTTTAATTCACCTCCTCAAGGCCGAGAAGGCCACTACAGACGAGGAGGCTACTTATTTGTGGTTATAACCCTCTCTCAACTCTATAACTCCGAAACACGAACCTTGACGAACAAGGCCGCTGCACTGAGAAACGAGTTGAGCGCGGTACTACCAGGGACGTGGTGGGGATCGAACTCAGAACCACTCGTTTATGAAGCGAGCGCTCTACCACTACACCACTACCGCATTGTGTGAGAAAACACTTTTAGTGAGAAAAAGAAAATTAAAAAAAGAAACATTTTTTGCCATAATATATGTCCTTATTATATAAATACTGCTTGCCCAAACATAAACTTAGCTAATATATGTATTGAAGCCTTTGTCTATGAATATTTCACTAAAATATCTTTAATAATAGTGCAAGTGCAGCTAAGTATTCATACTTATTAATAAATGCCAGCTGAGCTAATACTACTAATGACATAATATATAAATCTACAGAGGCTTTGGTATATTATATTATTATATATATTGGTGCATAAATTAATGAGTGTTTAAACATGCAGTATCTGCAACAAAGAACAACAACACAACGAAGGCAAAAAATTTTATTAAATCTTTTTTGTTTTCATTCTTCTTTTTTTTTTTTTCTGTTTGAAAAAGCATCTGGATTAAAGCATTTTAGATGTGAGCAGGATATACTAATACGGCATTACCCTAAACCTTGGTTGTTACTTTATACTGTGTTACTCAAGCTCTCCCTCTTTCACACACACACATACACACACACAGTAGGGTGTTTCATGTCATATTGATTTTTGAAAATGAACTTGCACCTAGATTTATAAATCAACTTTATATAAAAATAAGTTTCAGCAAATATTAAATTATTTTTGATAATTTTTAGGTATAATTAGGATACTTTTTTTACCAGCTTGTTTTTTGGTCAAATATGTTGGGTGTTTCAAATGCCTAGCAAGGATTTTTAAATTTATTCTATAATTTTTTTTATTCTTTTAAATGTTATATATTGAATTGAATATTAATTAGATTAAAAAAAAAACATGTAAAATTTAAGAAACTATTCTACATAATTTTCAGTAACTGACAGAAAAAGTAGGATTTTTGCTTACGAAATTTAATTATTCAATGGTGTATAAAAAACTTTTTTGATTTCTTAATAAACTGTTTCCAGATAAGGAACAAACTTATACCTGGGTAGTTTTTATAATAGTGCCAAATGAGGTCCTATATAGGTCCTTAGAAAAATAATCTGATGTGGTAACCTGAGCTTGATTATGATTTTTTTTAATAATAATTTTTAATTTTTTGTTTTTTTTTAAGATAAAAAGACTTACTGAGCTTACTGCAATGTGGTTACAGAAGTATTGGTGTTATTAGTTTTGTTGCATTAAGATAAGCAACTATATGGAAGATCTTCAACTTTAAATGATTCTCGTTGTATTTTTGTTGACTTTTTTTAAGCAAAAAAGTAAAAAGGAGTTTAATATTTCATCATTAGATAAATATTATCAGTTCAAAACTATATTATTTACTTATTTATATGCTAATTGCAAGTCTTCCTTTTTTTTCTTTTCGAAGGTTTTCTCTCCTTTGATGAATAGCAAGTAGAATATCTTGACAATTAATTCATTTTTAAAATTATTTACAAAGTCTGATACTACTTTATTAGGTCATTCGGATGATGCCATTAACTGATGCAACGTTGGCGACAAAATTGAGAAAAAGTCTCAAACTGGTCAACATACTCCAATAGTGGTGCCAGGTTAAAAACTTTTAACCCTCTTAATGAATTCTCTGTAAGCCCAAACAGCTCTAAAACTGGATTTAGAAAGCTTTTTTTTGCAACATCTGCTCTCTGCAACAGAAATACTTTGGTATAGAAGAGCAAGTAGAATCAAAGTTTGATTAGCTTATGGATTGCAGTTTACAAAATGTTACTAACTGATAGACAGATTGAATAACATACCTCAAAACTTAGCAACTTTAAAAACTAAGAAATTACTTTGTCATAAAAGAAAAACACCAAACTCAACCCTTTGCAGGCCTAATGATATCAAATAATATAATTTTTTTTCATTAAACACAACTCTAGAAGTAACTAATGTGGTAGTGGTGTAGTGGTAGAGCGCTCGCTTCATAAGCGAGAAGTTCTGAGTTCGATTCCTATGATACCCACTCTCCCCAATTGGTTGCAATTTTAACCTTTTGCTTGTAATTTTCAGCATTTTTGCTAATAGATTTCTTTTGAGCTTGTCAAGTAGTTGAACGTGACAATAAAAAAAACATTTCCACCTGAACTTACGATTAAATCCATGAATAGATCACTTGATGAAATATTTTTTGATTTTTGATGGCAAAGGAATATCTTTAACAAAATTCTCCACTATAACTTGTTTTTGATTACTTGGGAATGGTTGTGTTAAATCAAATGAAATATCTGATTCAGTACTAGTATCACTAATGTCTGTGAAAAACTCTAGCTCTGAAGTTGATTTTCCTACTGGAGTTAATTGTTTAAAACATTTAAACTGCTTTTTTTCTTTATTTTCTGACATACATTATGTTTTAGTTGCCCAAGGCCATAAGGCAACTTATTATATGGTCCTTTAAAAATTTAATATCAGTATAATTTGAAAGTAAAGAGACTGTTTTATTTAAGATTTTTTTTAATATTATCTTTTTCAAATCAAAAAAACTTGCATCTCCTTTTTCTTGAGTTCTTCCCACGATTTCTCTACTGCCTTAGAGCCCTTAGTTTTAGTTTTTTTCTTTATTTTCTTCCAATTTTCAATTAAACAAGTGATATTATCACTACAAAAATTATGATATAAAGATAATAAATTTAATGAAATAAAAAATAAAAATGATAAGTTTACAAAAATTCACCATATACCACATACTGGCAACATGGCAACTGAAATACTGCTGCAACATTTGTTTTGTTTGGTACTAAGAATTTTTCTTCATTTAATCAAAAGTTAATAAGACAAACCAACTTTTAGTTATTTCAAATGCTGCAAACCAACATATAATAAAAATTAAAAAAAAAATTAAGATCAGACTAGCAAGAATAGTATTCAAAACGCAACATTAATCATCTACTAGCTCTTTAACAAGAGAGTTGAAAAATTTTATAAGTGCAGAAATATCTGCCTTAAAGATTTTTCATTGAGTAATTTATCTTTATAACCTCCATTTAACCAAGAATTTTTAACTGCAAAAAGAATACAATTGTTAGAACAACTGACAAGGCTAGAACATTTTCAAAAGGATATTTGACAGGGTCAGAATATTTCATTTGATCTAACCAATAAACTTTTTATTGGTTAGACTAACAGTCTAACCAATAAACTTTTTGGACAGAACTAACTTGTCTCTAGATCTCTTGAATCTTTAGTTTAGTTTAGAATTCTTTATTTGTTGCAAAGGTTATTTGAGCTAAATTTTTTTATCAGTTTTTCTTCTTCAAATAAATACGCCCAATAAATACCCCCAGCTTTTAGTCTCGTAAGCCATTTTAAATAACAGTTAAAAAAGTAGACTAATAATTAGATGATAATATAATAATTATATAATAATAGTAAAAAAATAATAATTATTAATATAATTATTAATACAATATAATAATAAAAAAATTATAATTATATAACAATAATAATAATAAAAAAAGACTAATAATTATTGTAATGCAAAGTTTTAAATACTTTGTCATAGCTTAAAATGCGGTAGTGGTGTAGTGGTAAAACACTCGCTTCATAAGCGAGAGGTTCCGAGTTCGATCCCCACCACGTCCCTAGTAGTACCGCGCTCAACTTGTTTCTCCGCGCAGCGGCCTTGTTCATCAAGGTTCGTGTTTTAGAGTTATAGAACTGAGAGAGGGTTATAACCACTATTAAGTAGCCTCCTCGTCTGTAGTGGCCTTCTCGGCCTTGAGGAGGTGAATAACAAAACAAAACAAAAAACAAAAAAAAAAAAAACAAAAAATGGAAAGTAAATGTTAACTTTATAAACAACTACTTTTTTTAACAATTATTGAAGATGTTAAATTGGCTTACATTTTAAGTTATGTTATCTGATCAAATTTCTGGATTTTCAATGTATTGCGCTCTAATGTTGAATAAGTAGGGGCTATTAAGGTTAGTGTTATGGGGCAGGTGAGGGCTATTAAGGTTAGTGTTATGGGGCAGGTGAGGGCTATTAAGGTTAGTGTTATGGGGCAGGTTTTTATATTGACAAAACAACTTCAAAGTATTATTTTAATGTTGTTTTATACAACATTTACAATAACAATTTAACACACTTCAAAAAAAAAAAAAGCGAACTAGTTAATATTTTGTTTAAAATAATATTCACTTTTCTAATAATTGTATGAAGTTAAACTGATGAAAAATAAAAAACTGGCCTTTTTTAAAGCAATAATAAACTAAAATACTTAAAACTAAAATACTTAATATATATTTCCAATACCTCAGGAGCAAATTTGTTGAACTCTGCCATCCAATTTGGTAAAGTAGAAAGAGGTGCAGCAATTATGAATGGACCTATAACATTCTGCTCTATAAGAGATAATATCAATGCAATGGATTGTATTGTCTTTCCAAGACCCATTTCATCAGCCAAAATACCATTAATTCCATTTTCAAACAAACCCTGCAACCATTCCATACCATCTAACTGATATTCGCGCATTACACCACCAGTTAACAGTTTTGGCTGGCGATCTGATACTTTCTGCCCATTAATTTTACGACAAAATGTATCTACTCGTTTTGGACGATCCTGAAGTAAAATAATATAAGTTGATTTGTGTTTTATTAAAATGAGTAAAAGATAATAAAATTTTTTGTGTAAATAATAAAGTGTTTTAGAGCTTTGGTTGCAATGCACACAATTTAACTTTTAACCCTAAATTATAATGAATATTCTTCATGTTTGTAGTGGTAGGAATTTGGTCTGCTAAATATTTTATCTACAAATAGCAGATAAATTTTTATATCAAATAGTTGTGTTTGATATGATTGATACACTACTAGTTTATAATATATATATATATATATATATATATATATATATATATATATATATATATATATATATATATATATATATATATATAATATATCTTATACTGCTGAGTTAGGTGAGCATTATAATATATATATATATATATATATATATATATATATATATATATATATATATATATATATATATATATATATATATATATATATATATATATCTTATACTGCTAAGTTAGGTGAGCATGATGACGTCATACTGAAATAGCCTGCTGCCGGGGGCTTCAGTACATACATCGACTGACAAATAGCCTGACTCGCAGTGGAGTGCTGCTACATCGACTGAGGGTTTAGTATGGGTCAGCAACCTTTTCATTCATTATTCTTCGTTTTCCCTCATCGTTTTCTAAAAATGCTCACTTAAGCAACTTAAGCCCTTAACTGTGTCTGACGGATATATCCGTCTTTCAATGGTGTAGCTCTGTGTGTCTGACGGATACACCCGTTTAATAAAACTGTGAGCATGTGTGTGTCTGACGGATATTTCCGCATTATGGAACTGTTGCACAGTTTGTGACTGACAGATATTTCCATCTTTTATATGAGTTAAACAACAGATCATATATGATATGTTAAATGGATCTTTGTTTACTCATATTATGTAATAGCTTAAACAAAAGTATGGTCTTTATTTTATAAACAATTACCACAAAATATAAAGAATGCTAAGATTAAAACTGGCGATACTTTAATTCGATTTGATACTAAAACAAATAAAATCTGTACCAAATAAAGAGACAAAAAAGATGTACACATGCTGAGTACCTGTGTTCAAAATGACACAGTCATTGTTAATAGAGCTGGTAAAGAAAAAAATGTTCCTCTTGTGATACATAATAGAAACATGGGTGGTATTGACCTATCTGATCAAATGTTAACAACATAGGAATCCGAAAGAAAGAGTAAAAAAATGGTATAAGAAGATTTTCATGCATTTGATTAGTGTTTGTGCATTCAATGCAAATATTATAAACAATAAAATATCACCTAATATGACATCCTTGCAGTTTAGAGAGGCCATTATCAAAGAAAGAGATTAATTAAATTCCACTAAAAAAAGCAGTAACAAAACAAAACAAAAAATTTTGCAAACCAGCTTCTTTATAAAAATGTTAACTAAAAGTTAATCACAGATTATATTACAATTTTTTTTGTTACAATTCTTAGAGCAATTGCTTAATTATATGACCAGATGTGTCACAACCTTAGTTCTATTGTAGCTAAGAAATGTTCTTGCTAAGAGATAAACCATTGAGACACACTAAAACAAATAACTTTTTTATTGACCTAATGGAAAAAAAATTTTTAAATGCTCAGAGAGAAGATTAGTTGATTTCTCATCTAGAGTCAACATATAGTTACTCTTTCAAAATAATATTCTCATCATAGCATTTCTAAAATTCATTATATAAAGGAATGCATTAAAAAACATAAAAAAAAAAAATTTAAACTTCTAATTAGATAACAATTTCATATATTCAAAGAAATTTTTCATATTGAATATTCAACAGAAAAATATTTTAAAAAACAAAATAGACAGTTTGACCAACAAGAAACATAATGAGATGTTTTGTTACAAGCATGATTTTTTTTTTAAGAATAATAAACATCTTTTCATAAAAATACTTTTCATATAAACACATCTTTTCAATACACATCAGAAATTATATTTGGATTAAAGCGATTAATAATAAAGACCAAGTCTGTCTCATGTTTCAGACAGAGTGAAACGTATGTATGTATGTATGTATGTATGTATGTATGTATGTATGTATGTATGTATGTATGTATGTATGTATGTATGTATGTATGCATGTATGTATGTATGTATGTATCATAAACACCTTAAACTTAAAAACTTGAAATTCACTATGGCTAAACAAAAGAAAGATCCAATTGATTTTTTATATGTATTTTTTACAAAATTAAAAAAATTTTTTTGGCTGAGATTTGGCAAAAACATAATATCTTTTGTTTTACAAAATAATTTTGCACAAAAAATTGACTGTGAATTATCACATATTATTAAGAAAATGAAACCATTCAAACATTATTAATACTTATAACATAAAATACTTTGAGTGTCATTCATTTGGACTTTAATTGTACAAAAAAAAAAACTTAAAGTAATTGCTCATAAATATTCTAAAGATGTTCTATAAAAATTATTATTAATTGCAAGTAAAATACCAGATTATGTTTGAAAGGATTATTTCCATAGCTACTTCAACCTTATGTTCTTTACAAACATTTTTGTAACAATACCATGTATATAAACATTTAAATTTATCTAATAAATGCAAAAATTTAACTAAATGTGATTCAATTGAGATTTCAGTTATTGCTGTAACCAAACACAAACTAAATGTAAAAGTAGCACTTCACATAATAATGAAAAATAAATGGGAAAATCTTTTATAACTTCTAATTATACTACAAACCTATTTAAATTACCATTAATTATTTTATTTTGATTTGGGCTATATTAATTTGCTATTCATTCAGCCATTATTGTAACTAATCCTATTGATTTATCATGCATATTTTTGTCCATTATTATTTGTTTGTTCTATTTTTAATAATTCATTTTTTTAATCATTAATATTTCATTTTTTTAATCTTTTAAAAATATTAAAATAAAATTATTAAACATCAAGAAAGAAAAATTTTTTAAAACTTATATATTTTAAGATTACCTAGCTAAAATGCTCAGAGAGAAGATTAGTTTATTTCTCAGTCAGAGTCAACATTACCCCTTCAAGAATATACTCTCATCATTGCATTCTATGAACTAACTTTACCTCTTAACATATATTTCTGGATCAGACAGGAGCAGTATTTAATGTAGTACAACATTTTTATTCTTATAATTATTAATACTTGAATACATATACATTTTTCTTTCTACAAAATAGATTTTGTTAGCACTATAGAGTAGTACAGTATCATACACATAAGAGTACAATTGTTTTTGTTTTTTTATGTATGTGTGTGTTTATATATATATATATATATATATATATATATATATATATATATATATATATATATATATATATATATATATACATTTGATGCAGAAAATCAGCGGTGCATGAACTAGACTGAGGGATGAAAGCCTACAGAGAAATATGAAACATTTTTATTGAATAAACTTTTATATAAAGGATAAGTAATAATAGTAAAGGATAAGTAATTAATAGTAAACAAACAAAAAAAAACAAAAAAACAGAATAAACACAAATTTATTTTTTGAAGAAAGAGCTTATACAGAAATCATAGTCAACAGTAGTATTATAATTAAAGTATACCTAAAACAAAACATGACACAAAAGTAACCATAAATCTTCATTAAATACAAAAATTTAACTTACTTTAAAACAAATATACTATAAATATTTGAAGAGACTCAGCACCTTAGTTTTTATTACTCCTTTTATAATTTGGTTGTTACTTTATTGTTGTTTTCTTTTTTTTTAATCAAATGATCTGATTTGTGCATTACTTTTTTCACCTACTTGTGAAAAAAACCCATACTAATTTGTTGTTACAAAAGAAACTGATTGGTTAGTTATTAAACAAAAGTATTAAACTTTGCATCTTTTTTATATGAGTAGCCTACTTGACTGTAGTGGCCTCTCGGCCTTAAATAAAAAGTTCAGATGGACTGAATTAACACTAAATGCAATCATAGAATAATGGATGTTGATTCAATACCTTTATTACCACTCAATCCATAAAAAGAGAAAAAAAAAAAATTACTATTAAAAAAGTTTTTCAACATTACATATACATATATACAGTATTGGACAAAACATTTGCAACTAACATCAAACAATGCTAAAAAGTGTTCCTAATTTTACATGTCTTAAAAACAAAACGAACTATACTACCACAGCAAACAGTTCAGGAGTCTAGAGTCATAGCATGAGCAATCAGCTGACAGGTGACAGCACACAGGCAGAATTTCGTAGACAAGTGCCATTTTGCAGCGGACAAAACAAGTGCAACTTTATTGGTTTGTTTCATTTTTATAAGTCTTGTCCGTATCAACGTCACGGAAGTTTTTTGATAATTAAAGGAAGTATCCAGAAGCATGCAGAAGCTTCCAGAAGTTTCCAGAAGAAGCATCTGGAAGCATCCAGAAGTATCCAGAAACATTCAGAAACATACAGACGCATCCAGAAGCATAAAAAAAAAAAGCATCTAGAAGCTTCCAGAACAGGTTCACACAGGTTCATTTTACTATATAAGAGACATGTAAACCGACATATAATTCAGTCAGTATATGGAAGTCAATTAGTTAGTATTATCAAGACAGTTTATCGAAGTGAGTGGTGGAGGCAATGTAATGGTTTGGGGGTATTTTTCTGCTAACGATCTAGGTCCAATACATTGAATGGATGGAATAATGGATGGAATAATGTATAAAAATATCCTGAAAGATGTTATGTTACCTCATGCTGAATGGAATATGCCAATAAAATGGGTTTTTCATCCGAAACACACTGCAAAAGTAGTCAAGCAGTGGTTTCAAGACAACCACCTATCCGCGATGGATTGTCCGCCTCAATCTCAGGATCTCAACCCTATCGAAAACCTGTGGGAGATGTCAACCGCAGAATTAATCGTGAAGGTGTTCATAATAAGAATCAACTGTTTGAACAAATCTACAAGGCCTGGGCAGCGATTCCACAAAGTTTCATTGATCACCTGATGGAATCTATGTCTCGATGATGCGAGGCTGTGATAGAAAATAAAGGATTCGCCACAAAACATTAATAACGAAATACAGCTTGGTCAATATTTTGTGGAGTTGCACTTGTTTTGTCCAGAAGGAAATCAACTTTTTTTAATACTTTGATTAATTTATTAATTTTCGTGTACAAATAATGAGCTTTGTGATGAATAAAACTTGAAGAACGTTGTCTCTAAACAGTTACATAGTTATTTCTCTAAATTGAAAAAATGCAGCACTTTTATATAAAGAAACTAAATTAGCATTATTTGATTGCACTTGCTTTGTCCGATACTGTATATATGTTCACATAATTTAACACACAACTTTTTGTTTAATTCATTTTAAAGACTATTATTTAATAGACTGCCTGTCCAAACCAAACCCTCATTTGATCTAGCAGCACTTCTATGTAACAGCAGGCTATAAAATAGTTGTTATAGCAGCACTCCCTTTTAGCAACAGGCTATCAGATAGTTAATGCAGCAGCACTTGGCGCATGTTCTACAACAAAAAAATTAAAAAAAAAACATTGAGAATGTTTTTATTTTAAATACATTTTGTATGTTTTTAAAAACATTCTAGTCTTGATTTTTGTTTTTGTGGTTTTTCAAAAAACGATTATGTCAAAACCCAATAACTTAATTGAGGAAACTAATTAAATTTAAAAAAATAACAAATAAAAATTTAAAAAAAAAAAAAAAAACCATCACAAAAACGCAAATTAAAAGACCAAAATATTTTTAAAAACATTATGAATGTTTTTAAAAATATACTGAATGTTTTTATTTTAGTTTTTAAAAATAAAAACATTCTGAATGTTTTTATTTTTGTTACTGTAAAATAAGCGCAGTGTGTTGTTACATTAACTATTTTATAGCCTGCTGCTACAAAGGAGTGCTGTTACATAGACTATTTTATAACCTGCTGCTACAAGGGAGCATTGCCACATTAACTATCTTATAGTTTGCTGCTACAAGAGATTGCTGCTAGATTGACTATCTTATAGCCTGCTGCCAGAAGGAAATGCTGCTACATTAACTGAAGGTTTAGATAGAGCAGGCAGTCTATCAATTAATTAAAAAAAAAAAATTTTGAAATTTTTTTTTAAAATTTTTTACGCTTTTTAAAACAGTTTAAAAAAATTTTTTTTTTTTTTAAAGCCTGTCATTTAAGTTCTTCCAGGCCACTTAAGTTTGTCAGGCTGCTGGATATGAAATCAATTCTAATGACATCATACTGAAATAGCCATCTGCAGGGGTATTAATATTATATAAGGATTTAGGTCAGGAAAAGCACTATCAACATAAAGATAATTATTTTTGTATGATTCGCTATCATTCAATTTAATATCACTTCTCTGAGTCTAAAAAACTGTTTAGATTTTTAGTTAGCATTTTAAATATTAAAGTGAGCCAATCTATATTTACAAGTACAATGTATCAGTACAATATATAATTTATCAGTACAATGCAAAACTAAGTTTGCAAGAATAAATTAATATATAAATTTTTATTTTATTAAAAATATTTTCAACAACAAAACAATAATATAAGAATGAGTTACTTTTTCAGAATGATTTTTCTCAATAGAAACTTCTAATTTTTGTTTTTTGACCCGCTCTTCTAACTCCTAATAAAAAAATAGTATTTTAAATATAATAAATATAAAATTGTTATCAGTAAAAAAAAATTGAGGATTGTATATTTTTATTGTTATTGAATTGTTAATATTCATATAAAAATATTATATTTAAAAATTGAACAAAATTTAAGAACTTACAGATTTATCAATATAATTTTCAATGTTTTCAGGTTCCTCTCTTTTCCTTTTTCTTTTAACTTTTTTATCCTAGAAAATATTTGTTTTAAAAAATGCCAAAAATTGTTTCATTAAACAGATTTAAAATGTTTATTACCTTTTCATTACTGTCATTTGCAGTGTTGTCAGATTCTTTAGTTTTGTTTTTTTCGCTTCGTTTAAGATTGGCTTCAGCACGCTTATTTATTCTATTCAATAAATATGTTGCATAGAGCTGAGAACGATCTAATAACACTTGAAGACGATCATATCTCTGTTTTTGAGTAGCTTGGTGAAGACTTCTATTAGCCTTGAATAAAAATATATTATTATTTTATAAGTAATATTATTGGTTTATCTTACTTGCCTAAAGAAAAAAAAAAAATCTTAACAAATAATAAATTATCAACTGTTTAATCTAAAAAGTTTTAAAATTACCATTTGGAAGAAAATGATCAAAATATTTTATAAAAAAAAAGTAATAATATATCTTTGTCAAAAAACTGAAAACTTTGGTACAATTAATTTTAATATTACGCCAAAAAAATTAAATAATTTTTTGTATTATTGGTTTTATTATGTATGAAATTTTTTACATAGATCTATGTAAGTTATATGTATGAATTTTTTTACATAGATCTAGTTTTTAATAACTTTTACATTTAATAAAAATTAATTATACAAGAAAAAAAACTTTAATGGATAACATATATAGCATGTGTAGATAATTACAAATTTTTTTAAACAAATAAAGAATTATAAAAAAGAAACATTTATTTTTACATATAGCCCCCACGAGGAGATGAGCAGGTGGTACTCTAGGCCCAGTGAAAATAGACAAAACTGATATAATAACTTTTTTAAAAAGCGTAGAAAGCTTCTACTGCTTGTTTTCTCAGTCTCACAAGTGCTGAAAAAGCACATACGATTATCCAGGCTTTCCCAGGAAAGGCGTGCGGTCGCACGCCTTGTTTGTCCACGCATAGAATAAATTTTTCAGAAAACGTGACCGCGGCATTATTTCGTAAGAAAGCGGAAATTATCCACAGAAAATAAAAAATAATATTAAAAAAATTAAACGAAGTCTAAACAAAGTATAAAATTGAAATTGGATGTAAGAAAAATATTTTGATAATAAAAAAAAATAAAAAAAAAAAAAATTCTTGTAACAAAAAAAAAAAAAGTCTTGAACATTTTTTTCAAAATTTTTATACTGTTTTTGTTTTCTTTTATTAGGGTTGCTATTTTCTGCTACGAAATTTGATACAAGTCAAGGAAAAGACGACGATAAGTCATAAAGTTTTCACGAAAACAAAAAGACTTGATACGTAATTTATTCACGAACTTTATCAGACAATGTATTAAAAAACTGATTCATTATTTACGCGAGACAATTTTGGTTAAACTTTTTCATTTAATTTAGTTTTTACGAAGGTTATGCAAAGGTTATGCAAAGGCAATGACTTTATTCCCCAATACTTTGACAAGAAAATAAATTGCTGTTTTAATTATTGAATATATTATTTGAGATTTTAAAAATAACAAAATTTTAATGTGAAAAAAGTTCTTTCTCAACTTATTCAAAACAGATTATACTGAGTCAATGCTCGCCTTTTATTACGTTGAAATTATTCAATTGCATAATTTTGTAATTACGAAAGAAGTTAAAAAAATAATTGCATTGCTTCTGTTGTCATTGTTACGAAAACAGTTCCTTCGGGACATTATTATATATTAACACTCGTTCACTATGTCAATTAATGATTGCAAAATAAGCAACTCAATCGTTTGACAATAAAATTTTCTTTCATTTAAAAAACAAACAAACGTATTTTACTAATAAATAGCAATTGTTTTCGTGTTTTCTTGCGCATTAATACATTCAAACATTAAAATCAATACATTTAAACATTTAAATGTATTTACGAAACATTTAAAAATTGTTTATAGCTCTAGCATGAATTTTAAAGTATTACTGACTGATAAAAGTCATAAACAAATTTTACATTAAAAGGTCCTTTTATTTTCTTTAAACATTATTCTTTTTCTTTTTGATTTGATTTTTCTTATTGATTTGATTTTTCATAACTTAAATAACTACCACCCTAAAAAAATAAAAATATAAAATAAAAGTAAATTTTTTTTTTTAATAATTTACTTAAATTTTTTAATTTTAAAGCACAAACAGATTTTGGTTATTTACTTTAAGATTGCTTGCATTTTTGCGGTATTTTCGTTTAGCTTTGTTTTGGCGCGAATTCTTGAAACGCATAATAATAAAACGTGGTCAGTTAGTCAGAAAAATTTATTCAATGCGTGGACAAACAAGGCGTGCGACCGCACGCCTTTCCTGGGAAAGCCTGATTATCTATTCAAAATCTTTCAGAAACAAGATGGAGTAAAAGAATTCAGGTTATTTGACTAACTGTCAAATATTTTTAGCGCATATTCTTTGAGCTAGATGATACTTTTAGGGAACTGTTTTGCAACTAATACCTTCAAAGAAAAAATAGTTTGAGACTTAAAAAATACTTTGTCTTAGAATGGTCTATTTATGACTATTTTTTTGGCACAAAATACTAGCAACTATCGAATATAAAAATATCACTTGATGTTAAAACAGCTCTTATCTAAAATTTAGTAAAAGAGATATCTCACATATGTGGCACAAGGAGAAGTATGATTTAGGAGGCAAAAGTTATTGCAGAAGTTATTGGAATAAATGCATTCCTACAAAAAGAAAATGTTCTTCTGAAACAGATCAAGCTTTCAAATCATCATGAGTAGGATTTTATAATTCGAAGAAAGATTTGAGCACACAATTTCAGCACAAGATTTGAGCACACAATTTCAAATATCTGATGCAATATGTGATTTATCTCACTCTTTTTAAAATTTGAGTTTAAAGACCTTAATTCAAAAGCAGCTAAAATTGTAAATGCATACAAAAAAGATCTGTCAGATGAGAGATGAGATTTACAAAAATGCATTTACAAAATAAAAATTTTATTTCTAAAGTATTTACAAAAGTGTTTTGGCATTGAAAATTTTCCTCTTTGCCTTCTAAATTCATTTTATAACAAACAACTTCAAGGTTTCAAGACTTTGACCAACATTTCTCTGGCAATGCTTTGTACAACTACAGTAACTGTATCATCAGCTAAAAGATCTTTCGGAAACAGCTTCATTGAAAACATGGCAGAGAAGAAAGTTTTAAATCTCTTTAACCATTATTTTATATATTTAAAATAAATTTTAATTTTTTAAGCTAAGTTATTTTTAGTGATATCATCAAAAAGTTTGCTTTAGAAAAAATTTGAAAATATCAATTGCAATAATGTTTATATTTTTTAATACTATTAATACTATTTAAAATACTCTTTTTCAAATAAATCCTAAAATATTTCTTTAAGATCATCTTGTCATTTAGCCTTATTTTTACACATCTTGATTTTTGGTTTTTAGTCTTCATGGAACCAAGAGCAATAAAAATAGTTCATAGTAAACTGTCAATGCAATTCCTTGTTTAAAATAATATTTAAAAAAATATTTTGTGGTAAATAATACAAATAATGTTTTGATAAATAAAAATTGATAACAAAATAAGATTTCTACCTTATTTTGTTGAAAATAATCAAATCAGACCAAGCTCGGTCATTTTTGTGGTTTTTAATTTAAAGAGTTAATTAATGTTTCATAAGGGGGCCTAGTATTACCATTTCATGATAAATGTGATGTTAAGCACATTAATCTTCAAGTGAATCTTTATAACCTTTCTGTCTCATTAAGTAAAATCAATTTTGAAAACTGAAAATGTTTTTTATGGTTTTCTCCTTTTTTATTTTTGTTTTAATACTTTCATTATTCATTGTTTTAATCAAAATAACCACATAATACAAAAAAAATTTTGTACCCAGACATGGGTACAAAATGTGTTACTTTTATTTATCTATTTGGTACTGTAAAAAAAAAAAAAGATAGGTACAAAATGTGTCACTTTTTTTATTCTATTTGGTATTTAAAAAAAATAAGATAAAAAAATTAATAAAATATAAAATTAAAAAAAGTGACATATTTTGTACCCTGAGTAGATAAGATGTCAGAAAAAAAATTTAATACATTTTTTACAATTTAAAAATTAATTTTAAATATATGTGAAAAGCAGAAAGAGTCGGTTACAGTTTTATTTAAACACATCAATGAAAGATACGTCAGAGAACTAAAAAATAAAATTAATTCAAATTATCTGCAAATTTTTAGTTTGGTTATTTCTTTTCAGTTTGTTATTTTTTCAGTAAAATAAAATACATTAAAAAATAGTTTCACACTAATTTTTATTAATTTTTTTTTTTTTTTTATTAACTGAACAATAGCTGCTGTTTGGTTAACAAACAATACAAATGACTCCCATTTCCACAGAAACTTTTGACAAAAGTTAAAATTATAAGGTAGAAGTAAAAAATTATTTTCATTATTCTATTAATCAACCTGTATATACATTTGTTAACTGAAAAAAAAAGGTTAGAACCAAGTTTTTTTGATTAAAAATAAATAATGAATGCATACCAAGAAAAACTAATCTTGTTGTTTTAGTTGCCTTCTTAATTTTATTTAAAAAATCAGAGTCTTTAAATCAGGGTTGGAAAAAACCCAGGGTTTCTTAAAAAAACCCAACCCAAATGGTTTTTTTTTGGGTTTATGGGTTTTTTTAAAAATCGATCAAAATACCAAGTTTTTATAATTGTATGTGTACAATAATTTTTTTTTTAATTTCATAAATTCACCTCCCTATTGCTCCAGTGACCACTTTAGTCAAGGGAGCAACTCATTTTTAAAAAATGTTTTGTCTCAATCCTTAACATTAGCATTTTTACTAACAAACAACATTAACAATTAATAATTTTAAACAAAGGCTAACAAACAACATTAACAATTAATATTTTTAAAATAGATCACAGTAATTTCAGCAGAGGTAATTTGAACCCAAACCTTCTGATTGCGAGCCAAATGTTTTACCACTAGTCTACTAGCACATTATATCTATAGTGCAAAAAGGGACTCCATCAACTATAAATGATGTTTATTAATTGCACTAAATTAAAAACATGTTCAGATTATTTTTAACCAAAAAAAAAATCACTATAAAAATTATTATGACAAATGAGTTATTCAAAGTTAGTAAGACAATATAAATGTTGCAAACTAGTTTTTTATAATAGTTTTTATCAACATATTATTTCAAAAACTAAGTTTACAACATGTAATCAACAAGTTTGCAACATGATGTTGCAACCTTTTAAATTATTGTCA